GTAAGACCGCCTGTCGGACCAGTGTAGGGAGAAGGACCAGGGAGTGGCGAGGCAGGCGGTAGCTGTGACTGCGACTGGACAGGCGGAGGACACTCTAAGGAGGGAGCAGGACAAGGAGGAGGCTGTTGACCAAGAACCTGCTGAAGAAGGGGAACGAAGTACGGCTGTGGTCGTGAAGTGCCCCCGGAACCAGCAGAGACAGCACCAGAACCTCCAGCAGCACGAGCTCCAGCCGCACCGTCGGCTCCAGCACCCGCAGGAGGACGAGAGCCAGAACCTCCAGCACCAGCCCCTGCAGCACCACCAGCCCCAGTACCAGTAGTACCACCAGCGGCCCCAGCAGCTCCAGTACCTCCAGCAGGACCAGCACCAGCAGCACCTCCAGTAGCACCAGCAGCACCTCCAGCAGGACCAGCACCAGCAGCACCTCCAGCAGCTCCAGTACCTCCAGCAGCACCAGTAGCACCTCCAGCAGGACCAGCACCAGCAGCACCTCCAGCAGCTCCAGTACCTCCAGCAGCACCAGTAGCACCTCCAGCAGGACCAGCACCAGCAGCACCTCCAGCAGCTCCAGCACCTCCAGCAGCAGCAGGGCCTCCAGCGGGCGGCACCTCAACACTAGGAGCTCCACTCCGGAGGCTGCAGCGCCGAGCGTACCACTCACGTAGCCGCTGAGGGGAGGGAGGCTCCGGCCGCGACACTGCACCCGCAGGACCACCAGCCCCAACTCCAGCAGAACCCCCAGCCCCAGTAGCCCCACGCTGGAGGCTGTAACTCTGGGAGTACCACTCACGCAGCTGCTGTGAAGAGGGAGCGCCACCAGGCGCAGCACGGTCAGTCTCAGAACCCCCAGCCTCAGCTCCTCTAGGCTCAGCACCCCCAGTCGTAGCACCCCCAGGCTCAGCACCCCCAGTCGCAGCACCCCCAGGCTCAGCACCCTCAGTCCCAGCACCCCCAGGCTCAGCACCCCCAGCCGCAGCACCCCCAGGCTCAGCACCCCCAGGCTCAGCACCCTCTGTCTCAGCACCCCTAGGCTCAGGACCCCTCGCAGGACCAGAGTCGACAGCTACCTCGACAGGCTCGACCGGGTCTACCTGGGACACACCTGAGGGAGCAGCACCCTGGGGAGGGAGGGGGTCTACCGACGGGACACCTGGGGTGAGGAAGAGCGGCGGGGGGGGGAGCGGGGCAGTGCGGTAGGGGAAGAGACGGTAAAAGGGTACCGACTCGTCAAAAGTGACGTCCTGAGAGGGGAAGACACGGCGCGAGGTGGGGTGGTAAAACTGCCAGCCAGGCGCGTCAGGGACAAAGCCAAGGAAGACACAGGGAACGGCATGGGAGGAGAGCTTGTCCGCGGACGTATCGCGGACAAAGGCTCGACATCCCCAGACTCGGAACACCGACGCATCGCCAACCTCCCCCGTCCAATGCAGTGTGGGCGAGGTCTCCGGAGCAGAGACACGGGGCCAGAGGTTGAGCTGATGCGCGGCGTACTGCACTGCAAACGACCACAGGAAATGGGGGGCAGCCGCATGGATCATGGAAGTACGAGCGACCTCCATGACTAGACCAATGCGGCGCTCAGCAACCCCATTCTGCTGCGGAGAGGCCGGAAGAGTGAACGTCTGGCGGATGCCGTGCTCCGCACAGTAGGCTGCCAAGAGGTCGGAGGAAATCTCACCACCCCTGTCAGAGTGCAGACGCAGGACGGGAAAGTCCGACTAGAACCGTTGGCGGAGCTGGAGACGAGCAGCGCGGATCCAAGGGATCAAAACATCAGGGACCTCACCCTTGGTGCACAAGGGGAAGACCGTGGTGTAGCGCGTGTAGTCGTCAACGACCAGCAGGAAGTACCGCTCGTGGCCCTGTCCACGGACGCGGGCTGGGCCCCACACGTCCAGGTGGAGAGTCTGCAGGGGAGCCTCTGTGGGAGGGAACGAGGAGGAGTGAGGAGCGGCGCGCTGCCGCCCCTCGACACAGGGAAGACAGGGAGGAGCAGGCGAGGGTGGGAGGGGAGGGAGAACCCTGGGAAGACCAGAGACAAGGTACCGGGAGTGCATGCCGCGAAGGCGCTGCACTGACGGGTGACCAAGGCGGTGGTGCCAGAGGACAGTCTGGTGTGACAGGGAGCGACACGAGCAGGGGGCCGATAGCTGACCTGACGCAGACACAGACGCAGCTACCTGAGGGGACTCAGTGGTCAGTGTGTACAAGTCCGACCCCGGCTGCCTAGTGAAGGTAGCCAGGTGGCGACCCGTCCGAGCACACGTACAGTGGGTCACACGCTCATAGGCAGGGGTGAACTGGTGAACACCCCCGTCTTGTAGAGCAGAGCCCGCCACCAAGTTCGTAGAGAACGAGGGGAGGTACAGACCTGACAGAGTACCGGACGGGACCGCAGGACAAGGGAGGACAGTGGAGGAGGTCGCAAGGACTGGGCCCCCAGAGGGGTCAGCGAGGGAGACAGCCACAGGCCGAGCGAGCTGCTCAAGGACAGTGCGGTCTCGAAAGAAGCAGCGGGAAGCACCCGAGTCCAGTGTGAAGGTGTGCAGTGCCTCAGTAGACGCAGTACCAGCAGGCGCAGACGCACGACCACCTGGAGCAGCAGACTCACTAGCACCTAGAGCAGCAGCCTCACCAGGACCTAGGGCAGCAGACGCACTAGCACCTAGAGCGGCAGCCTCACTGGTCCCAATACCCGGGTCGGGCGGTACACGCAGGTAACAGTCACCCTCAACACTAATAGTCAATGCATACATTGCACCAAGGATAGCATCAAAATCAAGAGCAAAGATATCAACGTTCTTTTTAAGCAGATCAGCCCAGCGGGGCAGCTCAGAGGCGTCAGGGAACTGCTCGCGCCAGGCGTCGTCGAGACGGAAGAAGCAGCGGTGCGCCGTGTGGAACCTCCCACAGGTCTGGCCAGTGCGGTCACCTGTGCGGATGACGTACGGGCAGGTACCTCCACCCCCAGACCCCCCACGCTGAGAGTACCACTCACGGAGCTGCTGGGGCGACTGGGTCTCGCTGGGACGCTGCTGCTGCTGCCTCTGGCCACCGCCAAACCCGCCACGCTGCACCGCTCCACCGCGCCCGCCACCAGCTCCACTGCCGCCACCACCACCCCCGCCACCCCCACCACCGCCGCCGCCACCACCCCCGGCTCCGCCACTGACCCCCCCACCACCAGCACCACTCCCACCACCGCCACCACCACCTCCGCCCCCTCCACCCCCTCCACCACTGCCGCCCCCGCCGCCACCTCCGCCACCCCTGCCCCCCTTGCCCCTGCCGCCCTTGCGCCTCCCACTGGGAGCAGACGCAGCCCCGACCCCCTCAGCACCGAGGTAGTCGACAGCAACAGCAGATGCAATGGAGGGGAGAAGGGGGGAGGGGGAGCATCCCTCAAAGAAGGGAGTGCGAGGGTCGCCACGAGAGGCACCTACAGCTACAATGCTCTTCTCAGCTGCTAGGAGTTCCTTCTCGAGCAGGTCGACAGTGAGGTCGGTGGGGGAGAGGGCGAGAAAGTGATCCCTAACAGCGCGAAGAGAGTCAGGGAGGCGAGTGACGAGGTGGTAGAGTGTGAGGTACATCGGGGGAGGGTTCTTGGCTAGGAAATCGGGGGGAAGCGCGGCACGGTAGCGGAGGTCACTAGTACGGAGGTGAGTGATGAGGTCAGCTACTGTGGCAAAGGCAGAGAGATCGGGGAAGAGATAGGGCAGTGAGAGACGGCCTATCGCAGCAGTAGCAAGGGAGGAGTAGCGTGCAACGACAGCATCGTACAGCTCCTTAGCGGTCTTATGCTGGCCAAAGTGCTCGCGCTCATCTAACGGCAGGTGGCTGCGAACGGCTAGGCGAGCATGAGCGTCACGGGTCTGCCACTGTGAGCGAGCAGTACTGTCAGCAGTGGCAGCCGGTGCGGGAGCGGCGCCGGACGTGTGGTCATACAGGGAAACATCGTCCTTGGCAGTGATCTGGAGGAACAGGTGCAGGTCATCGAGCCAAACATCAAACTTAATCGGGCGGCCCTCAGCGTCAAAAGTGAGAACGGTAGGACTGGCCATAGTGGCAGTAGCAGCAGTAGGAACAGTAGCAGCAGTAGTAGTAGCAGGAGCAGTAGTAGCAGTAGGAGCAGTAGCAGTAGCAGCTGGAGCAGTAAGAACAGCTGTATCAGCAGGAACAGGAACAACAGTTGCTGCAGGTGGGGCGGCTCGGCTCGGTCAGGGCGGCGCGACTCGGGCGGCGCGACTCGGGCGGCGCGGCTCGGGCAGGTAGGGCGGCGCGACGGCGGGCCTATGCACGGTGCGCGGCGGCGCCTAGGGTGCGGCTGCTCGCGGGCCGCGGCTGCGTTCGTGCGGCGGCTAAGCGCAAGCTGCAGCAGCCGACGCGCGATCGCCGCTGCGCGCGGGCTGCGACCTGCGGGCGGGCGGCGGTGGGTCGAGCGTCGGCCTAGGGGCGAGCGGGGCCTACGGGCGACGGCCTACTGGCGCGCGCGAGAAAAATCGGGCCGCCCTAGGCGGCTGACGGGCTACTCGCGCTAAAAACGCGGGGCCGCGCTCGGGCTGCTAGCGGGCTGCAAACGAGCAGCGTGAGAGGAGAGCGCGCGAGGGCGCACTAGGAGGGAGGCGCACGAGGGCGCTAACACAGTAGGGCGCACGAGGGCACCTCTAGCGGAACGGTGGGCACTTAGGTAAGCGGTCCTAGGTCTAAAACCTACGCTCTTAATACCATGTCAGAAACAAGAAGTGATTGAACTAGGAATATTGGGGATACAAGTAGGAACCCTAGAGTATTGTACCCCCTAAAGGCTAACCCACTGTAGCCTACACAGCAGTAACATATATAATGTTTGACAAATGTTTCTACTCTGGCTGAATGCGCGCTCACTCGCCGCGTGCCATGGCCCCAAGTCCCGGCAGCTGGGTCTCCCTACCCCGCCAGTACACTGAGGAGCTCCCAATATCCTGCCTCGCGTCTGCCAAATACTGGTCCACCTCGTCCTATGCCTGCACCCCCTCCTTTGCCTCCATGGCTGCCATCTCCGCCCATAGCTCCACCTCTAAATCGCGCCCGCCACCTCCCCCAGCCGCCCCCCTCGCTGCTGCCCCCACCACCGCTGCATGCCCCACCGCTCTCATCGCACTCGTGACCTCACCTCCCGGTCGTGCCTCTGCCGCCACAGTCGCCGCTGCCTGGTACCGTGGAAGGCGCCCTCGTACCAGCGCCTTCACCCTCTCAACATCCAGCTGGAGTGTGGCCCCCCTGGCTAGGTCTTAGGAACCTAGTTACTTAGATAGGTAGGGGGAATGATGAGATTAGGTCAAAAGGAGGGGGTACAAGCAAAGTGTCGAGAGATATTCTGTACCCCCTAACAAGCAACTCACTACAGCCTATCCGAGAATACAAACATAGTTTGACACTAGGCCCCTCTCCTCCACCACCACAGGCGTGCTACTCCTCGCCCCCCGAGCTCTGAGCTTGAAGGGGGGGGGGTTTGTAGCGCGGATCGAGGAAGGTGGAAATCGCCGCCTCCTCGCTCACCCCCCCCATGTGCTGCTCCAGGTTGCTCATCGCCGCCAGGACCAGCGAGGAGCGCAACGTGGAGATCCCTGGCTCGAGCAGATCTTCCTCAAGAAGATCCAATAGCTTGTTTTACTAGTGTACAACAGCTGCCATGGTAGGATACAGAGACCCCTCCACGAAGAGAGTGACAGTGAGAAAGGGTTGGAGGAAATCACGCAACTCGATGAGAGCGGACCAGTGAGCATCGAACAGTCGGATCTTATCCCATGCCTCGCGTGTGGCACAGGGGATGGAAGCCTGAGAGGGATTGGAGAATGAGCGTGAATGCGAGAAAGATATTGAGTTTAACAGCATTAGAACAAATAAGGGTGTGGCCACCTTTCATTATAAGCACAATCAACGCTCCACATTCACTATATGCACATTCCACATGCATGCCACTCGTCGAGCCCATTCAAGGCACCACAACACCTTGAGCATTTATGCCTGACCACCGTTCACTGTAAGCACATTCCACATGCATGCAACCCCTCGAGCCTATTCAAGGCCCCACAACACCTTGAGCATAGATGCATGACCATCGTTCACTGTAAGCACATTCCACATGCATGCAACCCCTCGAGCCCATTCAAGGCCCCACAACACCTTGAGCATACATGCATGACCACCGTTCACTGTAAGCACATTCTACATGCATGCAACCCCTCGAGCCCATTCAAGGTCCCACAACACCTTGAGCATACATGCATGACCACCGTTCACTGTAGCACATTCCACATGCATGCAACCCCTCGAGCCCATTCAAGGCCCCACAACACCTTGAGCATACATGCATGACCACCGTTCACTGTAGCACATTCCACATGCATGCAACCCCTCGAGCCCATTCAAGGCCCCACAACACCTTGAGCATACATGCATGACCACCACTCATTGTAAGCACATTCCACATGCATGCAACTCCTCGAGCCCATTCAAGCCCCCCCCAACACCTTGAGCATATATGCATGACCTCCATTCATTATAATCACATTCCACATCCACGCAACCCCACGAGCCCTCTACTCATATCAGTGTCATCGAAGAACATCGTGAGAGGCATGCGAAGATCCAACCCCCTCAGCACCATCTCCAGCGTGGATACCCATCGGGTAGGCGAGTCGATGATCAGGTGCAAGCCCGCGGGTACTCGGCTCATCGTGGCTCCCTGTGCAGCCTCCTGTTGCGACGCCGTCTGGCTCGTAGCATACCGGCTCTGCAGGTCAAAGAACCGCTGCGAACGCTGCACGGACCACCCAATGTGGCTGGCCAACTCTCGCAGCCTCCGGAGCTGCTCCTTGACCGCCTCAACCTTGAGTGCTTGCTGCATTGCTAGGTTGAGGGCATGGGCCACGCACCTGTCGGGCACCGGCACATTAACATGAATTGTTTGCTTATAGATAATGTTGTCTACGTTGACAGTACAGGAAACATAATCAAGATTATGCACAGATCCCTCAACAACATCACTGTAATGCACATGAAGTGCCGAGAACGAGGGAGAAGCTGAGGGTCCCGAGGGCGGGACCCTGGGGTGCTGTCAGGGACGCCAGCCAATAGGCGAACCGCTCGGTTGTTGTTCTCGGCGTTGTATGTGGTCACGCCGAAGAACGCATCACCGAAACCCCATTCCACAAGGACCTCCTCCAACTCGTCAGCTATCGCGTCTCCCGTGTGGGAGCCCTTGAGCTCCCTGAAATCGATAACGGCCTTCTGCAGCTGGAAGTCGCTAGTGATCCAGTGAGCTGTCACCACCATGATCGATATGCCACACTCACTAGTCCATGTGTCTGTTCTCGCTATGCCTCGGGGTTCAGCATCGCGACAAAGTCGATAAACTGGCATGGAGAAGAGCACATATATGGAGTACATTCTATAAGGCGTGTCTGTGAGGGCAACGTCACTCGGGAAACGCACAACCCATTACGCCATCGGACCCATGAGATCGAACCTCCTGACGGTCGACAACATGGAAGGGCATGTCGAGTCCCGCAAAGAGCATCACCAACCCCTCGCGCAGCTGTTGAGCACCAACCCGCGGCGTGACGAAAGAACTCATGGTGGCCTGCCTACTACCACCAGCAGCGTCGCCTGTCACCCCACTCGCACCAACCCCCGTCGCGCCAGCTGGAATGGAGGGCCACGTGTCCGCATGCTCCCATGGCCACTTGGTCCGATGAGGGACGTCTGGGCCCCACCCGCCATCCGGAAAAGCAAGCTCTGATGGCTTTGCCGGATCGAGGTAACGACGTACCCATATCTGCAGACTAGGGTAGTGTTTCCGCTTGAGATGCCTCGTCCCCGAACGTGTGGTACTCTTACCCCATACCAGCTGCGAATTGCACCTTATGCATCACCGCTTCCCACTCACCAATGGCCCGTGCATGCCACGCACCAACCCATACTCCTTACTCTTCAGGGCCTTCTCGACTATCGGGTCCAACTCCGCTCCTGTTAGATTCCTCCCAATCAACGTCATTGCCTCGATAGTAGCCCGTGATACACCAACGGAGCGCACAAGAGCAGTAGGCACATCAGCGGCAGGCACAGCAGCGGCAGGCACAGCAGCGGCAGGCACAGAAGCGACAGGCGCCCTCCCTGACCCACCGCTAGCCCCAATACGCTCCCCAGCATCCGGGACACCCGTACCTCCCCTCGTCCCATCACCACCCTCCACAGCCGCCCCCTCACCTTGACCCCACCCTCACCCCCCCCTCCCTCCCCTCCGTAGGCCGCACCAATCCCGACCCCAGACGCTCCCCTGCCCGCACCCTCTTCTTCGAAGCCCGACTTCCCCTAGCAGCACTACCACCACCCCCGAATCCCTCACTTGCGCCATCCTCCCCACTCCCTGCCTCCCAATCAGGGTCACGGTCCCGCTCGGATGTATGCCCTGCATTATGAGCACTACGCACCTGACTCTCCTGCCATCGTCGCTCTTCCTCACGCCGCCGCGCCGCAATACCCTCTTTCCATGTTGCCTCATCGACTCCCGGGGAGAGGGAACCCAACTGGAAAGTCTCCATCGATGCGGAGATCTCCAGGCCACCAAGGGACGCGCCGGGAATGACTCTCCTACTATCCTGTCCACCATCAGCCATGGCCTCGGACACGGTCCGCACACCCCACTAGACACGGGCCAAGCTGCAAACCCACGCGCGATTAGAGTGCATCTCGCACAAGGCACGCGGCCGCCCCTCCCCTCCCCACTGCACGTGGCCGCCCCTCCCCTCCTCACCGCACGCGGCCGCGTCCTGCGCTGCGTAATGGCAGGTGCAGCCCTGACACAGCTCGTGGACGCTTCCTAAACTCTAAGCGCGGAGCTTGAATGGTTGGCAATTGCAGGAACTACTCATTGAGCCGTTTTTATAATAAAATTGAAGGAATCCCGCAAACGCATAAGCTAAGGCCGATTTCGGTCTATGTAACCTTAACGCTTCTTTTATCGAATGAAATGTTTAATGTAAGTAGAGCGACAGTATGAAAAGTAGGATCTTAGAAAGCGTTATAGGTTTAGGTGACTTCAGCTACGAAATGTCTTTGCGTGAGATGTCGAGGGGAAAATTTGACCCCTCGACATCGACTAGGGTTTCAGCGAGTGTCAAAACCTGGTTGGGTTTTCCTGACTTGATTCCGTGTCGAGTCAAGTCGACCCAAAACCCGACCCGACCCGACCCGACTTACATTGTCGGGTCGAGTTTTTAGCCCGGGGCGGCCCGACTCGACCCGGCCGGGCCAGGCCATTGAAGGGCTTGACCCGACGGGGCGAATTCCCGGGCCGGGCCTTTTGTCCAAGCCTAAGTTCATTAATCAGTTTCAAATTAGTGCAGTTTCTTGGGCACATGCTGAGTGCGGAGGGAGTTCATGTAGACCCGCGGAAGATCGAAGCCGTAAAAAAGGGTGGAAAGTTCCAGAGAACATCAAGGAGTTGTAACAGTTCCTAGGCTCTGCAAATTATTAAAACAGGTTCGCGGCGCAGTACGCAAAGATAGCAACGTCTCTCACGAACTTACTGGAGAAGGATACTCCCTGCAAATGGGACACCCCGCAACAGCAAGCCACGGAGCCGTTACAGACAGCCTTGACCACCACCTCAGTACTAATCCTACCTAATACAAGGAGTACGTGGGGGAAGCAGCCGAACGCGGATTGTAGCCGATCGCGTACCTGAGTACGAAACAAGACGGAGTTAAACTACCCGATTCATGACAAGGAAGCCTTGGCGATAATCACAGCCTTCAAGGCGTGGAGTTGTTATCTCGATGGAGCAAAACCAACCGTCTACACCGACCACTGCAGCCTGAAATACATGAAGTCGCAGCCAGCGCTCTCCAGGCCGCAGGTACAGTGGATGGACTTCTTGGAAACACATTTCCACTAAGGCATCGTCTACAAGCCAGGACTCAACAACAAAGCAGACGTGCTCAGCCGACCGGGACACGTGGCAGTAATTCAGATTGAAGGGATGAATCCTTTGCTCAAAGGCTTATTCCAGCACGGGTACTCCGTAGACCTTGAATTTCTATTAGCAAAGAAGCAGAAACTGCAGTGGAAGAAAGACCTCGCAGTACCGAAGGGTTCAGGGAAATTTTGGGTTCCAAACTACGCCCCTCTTCGTCAGATCCTACTGGAGGAATTCCATGACGTGGCGTATGCGGAACACTTATTTGGGACATTACGGAAGCAACAAGACCCTTGCCGGCATAGCGAAGTATTACTACTGGCCCCGGATGGCAACAAACTTGAAAGAATTCGTAAACTTGTGCGACACCTATCAGCGGATGAAGAGTAGCAAGCAGAAAAAAGCAGGGTTACTTCAACCATTACCCGTACCGAAGCAGCCATGGCAAGTTGCTAGTCTATATTATATTACTGGCCTGCCATCGACCACTCGAGGGCCTGCCGTCATACTCGTAGTGTTCAGCAATTTCTCTAAGATGGGACACTTCATTCCCACAAATGCCATTGCTACGACTGAAGTTACGGCTCGCCTCTTCTTCTCAGACAGTACGTTGTGGCGGAAACTCATGGGTTTGTTGGGGACTAAGCTTGATGCCTCCAGCATAACACCCCCAGACAGTTGGACAGACTAAGCGACTGAACCATATGGTTGAACAGTTACTGCGCACAGCCTGCAAAGATGACGTCAGCTGTTGGGATCAACAGTTGCCAACCTTATAGTTCGCGTACAACAAGGCTACTCACGCGGCTACAGAAAAAAAAACCCCTTTCTTTCTGTGCTACGGACGTGACCCAGTTACACCACATCAGCCAACCAGACAGGCACACGTCCAAGCCACTCATGGCTTCGTCACCACCATGCAGCAGCTATGGGAGAGGACTTAGTGGCACCTCACAACGATGCAAAATTCATAGAAGCAGTATGCTGACCGCGAGCGACACGACCACAAGATTGCAGTCGGACAACATGTTCTTTTGGACACTCACAATTTGGACCTCTCTCATCTACCGTCCAAGCTCCGTCCACGTTTTGGTGGTCCTTGTCGCATTGAGACGATGGTGACACCCGTTACATTCCGCTTGCGCTTACCAACCACATGGAAATTCATAATGCCTTCCATGTTCAGCAGTTGAAGCCCTACAAGGACCCCAATCAGCAGTACCAGGGACATCAGCTACCACCACCGCCACCTACTCCAGGATGAATCCGAGTACGAGTTGGTGTCCTCGTGCACCGACGCCGATGCGGCAACACGCTCGAGTTCCTGATTCGTTGGAAAGGGTACGACCCTTCGAAAGACAATTGGGTAACAGAAGCTGATATGGGCAACGCACGCTATGCTCTCAAGGATCATCTTGTCAAGCAGGGTGTTTCTCATTCTACCCGGCTTTGAAGGGGGGACGCGAGAGAGTACGCCGTCCATTCTACCCTATTTTTGCTTATTTCTAATTTGATTTTCATTCCCTATGCTCGCTTTCTTATTTTGGTTATATTCACCGAATAGGATTGCGTGCACCAGATTTTACTGAGATCTAAATTTATCTCGCATGGCCCAGTGTGTGTGTGATTATTCACCAAATGACTCTACAAAATACAGTAAGGCTATATTCCCGCTGGTTCTAGAGCCTCGGTACTTTCCAGTAACACCCAGGTTACCTGCCTTGTATCGTATCTATATTTAGTCGCGTAGTTGTACCCATGTTCATTATTCATTCTCGAAGTGAAGTCTCGATCCTCTCACACCTAGACACCCCCGACTGGTTGTTCTACCACCCTTCCTCCTTTCCCTTCTTCATCTCTCGTAACGTTACCTTTGACGAGTCTGTCTGCCTTTACGCTCGCTTTCTCCACAGAGGTACCCCGGTCCCCCCCTCCTCCCCTGTTTTTCGCTACCCCTCCCTTACCTGGTCCCACCCTTCTGGTAGCTCCCCTCCCGGCCTTGCCTCGCAGTCGCCACAACAGCCTTTGTTGCCGCAGCCAGGTCTCGCGTCGCAGCGGCCGGTCATTGTGGACACTGGAGGTGCTGGTTCGGCGGGTGCAGTTGCGGTGGGTGCTAGCCCTGGTGGTGCTGGTTCTGGGGGTGCTGGTTCTGGGGTTGGTGACACTGGTGGTGCTGGCTGTGGGGGTGCTGACGCTGGAGGCGTTGGCTCTGGGGGTGCTGACGTCGGAGGTACCGGCTCTAGAGTTTATGTCGGTGGAGACTCAGCCTCTAGGGGGTGCAGTGGCTCCGCGTCGTTCGGAGAGACTGCAGCAGCAGCAGCAGCCGTAGCAGCAGCAGCAGCCGCCACAGCAGCAGCTACAGCGGCCGTCGTCGCCTCCGGTGACTGGTCTTCATATTCTTGGTCCTCCTTTTCTTTCAACTGGGTGTCCTTCCACTGCCCTACTACCTCTCCCGAACCCGTCTCCGACTTGCTTTCCTCCTCATTCTCTGTCTCCTCCTCTCCTTCCTGACCCACATCGCCCCTCTTCCTCCTGAACTATTGGGCGTTCCCCTCGTGCTCGCCCCTCGTCTCCTGTTCCTGGCTTTAACTCTATGAGCCTTCATTCTTTTCCTCCTCTCCTCCCCTCCCCTCCAGAGTCGTCCCTCACTGTCTTCCCTCCTGCGTTCTCTGACTTCCTCCGTGCCAATCGTCCTACACTCTCTCGTGTCCTTTCCTCCCTTGTCACTGACCCTACGACTCCTCCTTCATCTGTCTCGGCTCTTGTCGTTACTGTACTGACTTTCCCTCTACTCGCCGCCTTGACTATGCTGCTCAGTTAGTCTCTGGCGCTATCTGTCCTCTAGTCTCTGACGCTACCCGTCCTCTGTATGCCAGGGGTGTGGTGCCTTTGGCTGTGACGTCCTAGAGGATGGCAGTTTGAGTTGGGTTTCCTTGCGGCCATTGCTCCTCAACTCTGTGCCATGCTACTAGCTCCTGAGTGCGACCCAGGCGCTTTTGACGTGTCGACTCCTCGCACCTACACTGAGGCGATCTCGGGAGAGTGGGCCTCTCAGTGAATAGCAGCCATGGACGCATAGATGGCATATTGGAGGTCCACATGCACTTACGTCGACGCAGTTTACCCTCCTGTGGCGAACGTAGTTGACGGCATGTGGATCTTCAAGGTGAAGCGGCCACCTGGATCGCCGCCTGTCATCAGGGCGCACTACATGGCGAGAGGTTTTTGTCAGCGAGAGGGGGTAGACTTCTTCCAGGCCTTCTCCCCCACCCCTAAGATGACCACTCTTCGGGTGTTGCTGCACATCGCGGCACAGCGTGACTACGATCTCCACTCGCTGGACTTTTCGACTGCTTCCTTTAAGGCAAACTTCACGAGCAGATCTGGCTGCGTCGTCCTGGTTTCACTGGGTCGTTCCCCCCTGGTACCAAGTGGAGTCTTCAACGGTCTGTCTACTGTCTGTGTCACGCTCCACGTGAGTGGCACGACACAATATGCACCACTCTTACTGCCCTCGGATTCTCTCCGTCCTCTGCTGACCCTTCTCTCTTCGTCCGCTCTGGCTCAACGCCCTTCTACATCCTTGTTTACGTCGACGACCTGGCCTTTGCTACGCCTGACAGAGCTGCACTGGTCTCAGTGAAGGTCGAGCTGCAGAGGAGACACACCTGCACTGACCTAGGTGAGTTACGTCACTATCTTGGCTTGCACATCACGCAGGACAAAGCAGCGCACACCATCACACTGACTCAGTCACACATAGTGCAGAAAATCCTAGAGCGATTCGAATTCGCTTCTCTTCTCCACAGGCCACCGCACTTGATGTTGACCGTGGGCTCACGGCTCCTGTTCCTGACGGGTTTGCCGAGCCTAATGGTCAGTACGCAGAGCTGGTGAGCTGCCTCATGTACCTTATGATATGTACTTATCCTGACCTTGCACACCCTCTCAGCATCCAAGCTCGCTTTGTTGCACCTCGTTGGCCGCTAAGAGGGTTGTGCGCTATCTGACGAGCATATAAGGCATGAGGCTTGTGTTTTAAGGGAGACAGCCGGTCAGCCTCACAAGGCACGCTGACGCGTTGTGGGTGGCCGACGCCGAGTCTCGGAGGTCTTCACTGGGCTACTGCTATCTCGTGGAGGTCGACTCATGCTTCGTCAGTTGCTCTGTCTAGCTGTGAGGCCGAGATCTACGCCGGTGGTATGTCTGCGTAGGAGCTCCGCTGGCAGCCCTTCTTGCTCACTGACTTAGGTGAGCCGCCTCGCTCCGCCCCAGTCCTGTTCGCTGACAACAGGGCTATGATCCTCCTGTGTCAGGAGTTGAGACGGGAGGGCAATGCGAAGCACATCCAGCTGCGCTACGTCTTCTAGCGTGAGTTGCAGCAGCGCGGTCAGGCAACCTGTGGTCTCAGAGGCCAACACTGCTGATTTCTTTAACAAGGCACTGCTGTGATCATTAGCGGTTATGCACACAACTTGGTTAGTTACAGGATGTCATCACTTGCTAGTTTCTTGATCTTTGTTGCTTGCTCTGTCTGTGAATGTGGATATATATTTTTGTGAACTCATTGACAGGTTTAGTAGTGCCGCCCTGAGTTTGCTTGTTGTTGTTGTTGTTCAGGGACTGCCCCTTACCTAGCCTAGGGGGTGTGTCAAACTATGTTTTATAAATATGTATATATATGTACGTTTCCATAGGCTAGGCAGGGTTAGTCTTTAGTGAGGATAGCACTTTGTGTTTGTCACCTCTGTACTCTCCCTACTAGTCAGATTTTCTCTCGACATATATTTAAATATGTTACGTCGAAGTCAACGTCTGCCCATCCACAATCACATCGTGCCAAAGGAGATCGTTGAAGGTTGACAAAACATCTGCGCTTGGTTCAGCAGTTCTTATGGAAGATTGCTGCTACCTGCTAGTGTGTCTGTTCGCCTAATGAGGGAGAGTGTGGAAGTGGATGAGGCCAAGAGGAGAAACACCAGTAGCAACAGTTTAGAAGCACCAGTGGCACCATCATCATGTCTGTGTGTGTAAAACCCAAGTAATTCAGCATCCCCTGCCCCCACGTCCCATTTTATGGCCGGATGGAGCCCCAAAGTTTCATGTACGCTTGCATGTTGGATTGCGTGTCGGATTGCGTGTTGGATTGCGTGTTGGATTGCGTGTCGGATTGCGTGTTGGATTGCGTATTGGATTGCATGTCGGATTGCGTGTTGGATTGCGTGTTGGATTGCGCGTTGGATTGCGCGTTGGATTGAGTGTTGGATTGCGTGTTGGATCGCGTGTTGGATCACGTGTTGGATTGCGTGTTGGATGGATAGCGGGTTGGATTGCGTGTTGGATTGCGTGATGGATTGCGTGATGGATTGCGTGTTAGATTGCGTGTTGGATTACGTGTTGGTATGCGTGTTGGATTGCGCGTTGGATCACGCGTTGGATCGCCCGTTGGATCGCACGTTGGATCGATCGTGCGTTGGATGGATCGTGCGTTAGATGGATCGCGCGTGTTAGATCGCGAGTGTTGGATCGCTTGTTGGATCGAGTGTTGGATCGCGCGTTGGATCGCACGTTGGAATGCGCGTTAGATCGCGCGTTGGATAGATCGCGCGTTGGATCGCACGTTGGATTGCGCATTGGATCGCACGTTGGATTGCGCGTTGGATCGCACGTTGGATTGCGCGTTGGATCGCGCGTTGGATGGATCGCGCGTTGGATGGATCGCGCGTGTTGGATCGCGTATGTTGGATCGCGTGTTGGATCGCATGTTGGATCGCATGTTGGATCGCGTGTTGGATCGCGTGTTGGATTGCTCGTTGGATTGCGTGTTGGATTAGGTGTGGATTACGTGTTGTATTGCGTGTTGGATTGCGTGTTGGATCGCGAGTTGGATCGCACGTTGATTGCACAAGGATCGCACGTTGGATAGATCGCGCGTTGGATGGATCGCGCGTTGGATGGATCGCGCGTTGGATGGATCGCGTGTGTTGGATCGCGTGTGTTGGATCGCGTGTTGGATCACATGTTGGATCGCGTGTTGGATTGCGTATTGGATTGCGTGTTGGATTGCGTGTTGGATTGCTCGTTGGATTGCTCGTTGGATTGCTCATTGGATAGCGTGTTGTAGTTGTTGGATTGCGTGTTGGATTGCTCGTTGGATTGCTCGTTGGATTGCTTGTTGGATTGCGTGTTAGGTTGCGTGTCGGATTGCGTGTTGGATTGCGTGTTGGATTGCGTGTTGGATTGCGTGTTCGCTTCTTCAGCAGTCCATTATTCACAAGAACAACAAGAGACATAAGCTTGAGATGGACTGAGGAGTGCTGGAAAGCAGCTGCAGCACCAGGCACAAGCGGGGGAGCGATTCAGCTTCAGGCATCAAGATCAGCGTCGGCCTGGGTGGTGTCAGCAGTGAGCTGTGCGCGGCGCACACCCCAGAAGGCGGGCGGGTTGAGGCCGCGGCGCACAGCCGTGAAGCGCCACCCCACGTGCATGCCGCAGCCCCCACAGTGTGCTATGGTCCACGCGTACCTGCGCCAGTGCCGGAGGGTGGGGAGCGGTGGGGCGGTCAGGTGCGAGGCGACACAACAAAGGGGGTACAGCGCAAGGCGGGGAGAGGGAGAAGCTCATAAGTTGGGGAGTGCGCTGCAGCGCAGCACAGATGCGCACTTGAAAAGTTTCAGGGGAGTGGCGTGTGGTGCATGGAGAGGATGGAACAAGGACTAAGGAGATGCAGCAGGAGTACATGGGTTCAACAAGATGGAGTGCTGTGTGATGCTGTGCAGTGAGATGCTGTGCAGTGAGATGCTGTGCTGTGTGATGCTGTGCGGTGAGATGCTGTGCTGTGTGATGCTGTGCGGTGAGATGCTGTGCTGTGTGATGCTGTGCGGTGTGATGCTGTGCTGTGTGATGCTGTGCTGTGTGATGCTGTGCTGTGTGATGCTGTGCGGTGGGATGCTGTGCTGTGTGATGCTGCGCTGTGTGATGCTGTGCTGTGTGATGCTGTGCTGTGTGATGCTGTGCTGTGTGATGCTGTGCTGTGTGATGCTGTGTGGTGTGATGCTGTGCTGTGTGATGCTGTGCGGTGTGATGCTGTGCTGTGTGATGCTGTGCTGTGTGATGCTGTGCTGTGTGATGCTGTGCGGTGTGATGCTGTGCTGTGTGATGCTGTGCGGTGTGATGCTGTGCTGTGTGATGCTGTGCTGTGTGATGATGCTGTGCTGTGTGATGCTGTGCTGTGTAATGCTGTGCGGTGTGATGCTGTGCTGTGTGATGCTGTGCGGTGTGATGCTGTGCTGTGTGATGCTGTGCAGTGTGATGCTGTGCTGTGTGATGCTGTGCTGTGTGATGCTGTGCGGTGTGATGCTGTGCTGTGTGATGCTGTGCAGTGTGATGCTGTGCTGTGTGATGCTGTGCTGTGTGATGCTGTGCGGTGTGATGCTGTGCGGTGTGATGCTGTGCTGTGTGATGCTGTGCGTTGTGAATCTAATGTCATGCCAAGCTGGCGTAACGCGACCGGACCGAACACGAATGTGGAGAAATCAAATGGAAGGAAAGAAAGGAAACCACCATGCAAGCATGCACCCATGCACGCTCACCACGCGACCTTGCCCATGCAACCAGCTGTTCTCATTTGGCTTACCCCGGGAACCAGCTGTTCTCATTTGGCTTACCCCGGGAACCAGCTGTTCTCATTTGGCTTACCCCGGGAACCAGCTGTTCTCATTTGGCTTACCCCGGGAACCAGCTGTTCTCATTTGGCTTACCCCGGGAACCAGCTGTTCTCATTTGGCTTACCCCGGGAACCAGCTGTTCTCCGTCTCCGCGCTGCCCTCCAGCACGAGCCCTCGGGCGCGCGAGAGAGTGAGCGTCTCGTGCACGAAGCCATGCGCGTTCACAAAGGCGCTGATGGCGCCCTCCGTGCTCATGCACACCATGTCGCTGCGCCTCGCCACCCGACACTGCCTCTCGCATAGGAGGGGGGGGAGGGGAGGAGAGGGGGATGGAAGGAGACGTGTGGGGAGGATGCGGTGGCGGCAGGTCACACGCGCACTGCACTGTGCCTGCACGCCATTTGAGAGCAGGGAGGCGTTTCAATGCGCAGACAACGGAGGAAATGGGAAGACGAGGGAGGGAGAGGAAAGTTGAGTTTGAAAGCAGCAGGGCACACTGAAAGCTGCCAAGCATGGTGCTGTGCGTGGTGAACTTTTGTGGGAGACAGGTGGGCGGCAGACAGTGCTGATGGATGGACGGATGGAGGGGGCTGGGGGAGGGAAGAGACGAAGAGGGGGGACACTGCACGACTATGTAAAGGACCATGCAAGAGAAGAGAAGAAGAGGGGGGACACTGCACGACTATTCCAAAGACCATGCATTCCAAGTTATGTACGTACCGTACCTCATCACAACGGGAATGTGTGACGCCTGCAAATACCACACCTGGCACCATAACACCCACCGCTGTTTCCAGACGATAGGCTGCTCAGTTGCTAGAATTGATTTGGTGTTTAAGTTTCAACAATCTGTTCTCAGATTGGTTTAGGTTGCTTCGGTGTAGATTTCTCGTTCCAGCTTATCCAAGCTGATGCATTGAAGGCAGGTGGAGCAGAGGCGTACCCGGCATGTGGAGCAGAGGCGTACCCGGCATGTGGAGCAGAGGCGTACCCGGCATGTGGAGCAGAGGCGTACCCGGCATGTGGAGCAGAGGAGGTGGTCGATGCACTCGAGCAGGCGAAGCTCCTTCTGCAGCCGGTACACCGTCGACCCCACCTGCACCCATGCACACCACACTCACACGTCACCCACTCCCGCTCATCATGAACGATACGATGGCCAGCATTCAGGTAGCACGAGCACACTAGAGCACCAAGCAAGGCAAAACAGCACAAGTGCGTGTGACATTGGTAAGTGGCAGAGGGCGGTGAGGAGGGCACACCTGCAGCAGGTGCAGGCGGTGGCGGTCGCTGATGGGCATGTTGGCCGCCACCACGAACGACAGTGCCTCCGGCGCCCGCACCAGCCCCTGCAGCTGCTGCGCCTGCGCTGGTAGCAGGTGCGCGCACATGTCTGGCCATGGGGGAGGATATAAAGAGCGAGAATAAGTTGCAGTTGGGAGGGAGGAGGTAAGGCGGGCAGAACATGGCAATGATGACCACAGAACATGGCAATGATGACCACAGAACATGGCAATGATGACCACAGAACATGGCAATGATGACCACAGAACATGGCAATGATGACCACAGAACATGGCAATGATGACCACAGAACATGGCAATGATGACCACAGAACATGGCAATGATGACCACAGAACATGGCAATGATGACCACAGAACATGGCAATGATGACCACAGAACATGGCAATGATGACCACAGAACATGGCAATGATGACCACAGAACATGGCAATGATGACGACAGAACATGGCAATAATGACCACAGAACATGCCAATGGTGACCACAGAACATGGCAATGATGACCACAGAACATGGCAATAATGACCACAGAACATGGCAATAATGACCACAGAACATGGCAATGGTGACCACAGAAGCTCGTTACACATAATCTACAGCCTCACTTGTACATTTTTTGTTATATACTCTTGTTGAGATTACTATCAATGCTTGAGCATCACCCACTCCCAACGGCTTCAACCCAATTGGTCCATATTATCTCTGAAGTGCGTAGGAGCCTGCACCTCCTCTCACTAATCCCTCGTCCCAGCTCTAGCTCGTTCATATCTTACGTGCTCGAGCCTCACCTTGCCCGTCCCACCACTTGCTTGTCTCACCGTAGAGACCTCCACCCCAATAAGGGGCACACCACCAAACCAAAGTGTTGATTTGAAAATTCAAAAGTGTATAGAAAAAGAATCACACCGTTCACTCATCAACATGATGTTCGAGCCTCACCCAGAGTGCGCCTCACCCAGAGTGCGCCTCACCCAGAGTGCGCCTCACCCAGAGTGCGCCTCACCCAGAGTGCGCCTCACCCAGAGTGCGCCTCACCCAGAGTGCGCCTCACCCAGAGTGCGCCTCACCTGCCACGCGCCTCACCTGCCACGCGCCTGGCCAGATTGAGGGCGTCAAACATGCGGTACACCCAGTGGGGCCACGCCGCCCGCGCCGCCCTCCTCCTCCACTGCACCTCCTCCATTGCCCACCGCTCCGCCGCCCCTCCCCACGCCTCCCACCTTGTCCTCTTCCTCCTGCTGCCCGCGCTACTTTGATCTCCCCTCCCCTCCCCCCCCCTCCCCTCCTCCTCCCCCTCATTCCCTCCCCCATCCTCCCTTGCTTCACCCTCCCGCACTCCAAACAGCCCCAAGAGCCTGCTCAGTCGCACGTCTCCTTCCACTCCCTCCTCGCCCTCCTCTCGCCGCTCATCTCCATCGCCCCCACCACTCGGGACCTCGCTGCCGCCGCTGTCAGCCCGAACAGCCCCCCTTCCTCCTCCTCCCCTACTCGCTTCCCCTCCACTGCGCTCCTGCCCCCCTCTCGCCCGCACCCCATCTCGTCGCCGCTCCCTGCGTCTCAGGGGCGCCACCCATCGCTGCCACCACCGCCCCCCTCCCCTGCGCCGCTCCCGAACCCGCCCCTCCCCTTCCCCATCGTCTCGTTGTGACTCCTCCTCCTCATCATCCTCCTCCTCTTCCTCCTCGTCCTCGTCTTCTTCCTCGTGACCCTCCTCTTCTTCCTCCTCCTCCTCCTCTTCTTCTTCCACCTCCTCCTCCTCCTCCATCCACCCTCCCTCCTCGCCCTCCATATGGTCACCTTGCTCTATAAGCCTCCTCACCAGCTCCCTCCTCCTCTCCTCCCGTCGCCTCACTCTTTCCTCCTCACTCCCTCTCCTCCCATTCCCTCCACGTCCTCCCCTGATCCGCTCTCCCCTCCCCCCACGCCCACCATCCCCTGCAGCAGCCCCTCTGCGGTGCCCATGCGGCGCACCCCTGTCTGCCATCCCCACGGCCCTGCCCTCCTCACCGCCCTGCTCTGCACCCCTCGCCCCCTCTCTCCCCCTGCCGCCCACTGCCTCTCGCATGCAGCTGGAGGATGCCGCCCGCATGCCGCGGCAGTGGGAGAAGGCGGCAGCTGGCAGGCGCAGGGGGGTGGCGTCGTCGAGAATCTGCACCTCCGCGGCCGGCTGCACGGGGTGATGGGGGGCGGGCAGGGGCGCAGGGGGGGCAGAGGGAGCAGGACGGCTTGGGGAACACGAACTGCCTTGTCAAGAGCCTGAAACACGGCCGTGAGATAGGGGAAGGGGAGGGTTGGGAAGGAATGGGAATAAACGAAGGGAGATGGTGGGGGGGCGGTGAGAATGATGATGAACAAGGAGCATAAGCAACAAGGAAGCGACGAACAACAGAAGGCATGGAAGGGCCTGCATAAAGACAAAGAGAGCAATAGCTATAGAGAAATGGGAGTGAATAGGCAAGGCTGGACGGCAAGGGTTGGGGTGGGGGGACGCACGGAGCCGTCGGGGTCCATCCAGGCGCGGCGCACGAGGAAGCGCTGGCGACCCCTCGTGACCACACTCATGCTGCCGTCCTCCTGCTGCCTCACCCGCCGGATCTGAGCCATGGGGAGGTGGACACACGCGCACCCAGGGGCGACAAGGCAGTGGACAGGCCTGAGAGGTGCATGCATGGCAGCTGTGGCCGCTGTGGCCGCTGTGGCCGCTGTGGCCTGGTGCATCCGCTGGCTTGTAAGGTTGTGTCCACCTCTGCTGTTGTGCCCACCTCTGCTGTTGTGCCCACCTCTGCTGTTGTGCCCACCTCTGCTGTTGTGCGCACCTCTGCTGTTGTGCCCACCTCTGCTGTTGTGCCCACCTCTGCTGTTGTGCCCACCTCTGCTGTTGTGCGCACCTCTGCTGTTGTGCCCACCTCTGCTGTTGTGCCCACCTCTGCTGTTGTGCCCACCTCTGCTGTTGTGCCCACCTCTGCTGTTGTGCCCACCTCTGCTGTTGTGCCCACCTCTGCTGTTGTGCCCACCTCTGCTGTTGTGCCCACCTCTGCTGTTGTGCCCACCTCTGCTGTTGTGCCCACCTCTGCTGTTGTGCCCACCTCTGCTGTTGTGCCCACCTCTGCTGTTGTGCCCACCTCTGCTGTTGTGCCCACCTCTGCTGTTGTGCCCACCTCTGCTGTTGTGCCCACCTCTGCTGTTGTGCCCACCTCTGCTGTTGTGCCCACCTCTGCTGTTGTGCCCACCTCTGCTGTTGTGCCCACCTCTGCTGTTGTGCCCACCTCTGCTGTTGTGCCCACCTCTGCTGTTGTGCCCACCTCTGCTGTTGTGCCCACCTCTGCTGTTGTGCCCACCTCTGCTGTTGTGCCCACCTCTGCTGTTGTGCCCACCTCTGCTGTTGTGCCCACCTCTGCTGTTGTGCGCCACCTCTGCTGTTGTGCCCACCTCTGCTGTTGTGCCCACCTCTGCTGTTGTGCCCACCTCTGCTGTTGTGCGCACCTCTGCTGTTGTGCCCACCTCTGCTGTTGTGCCCACCTCTGCTGTTGTGCCCACCTCTGCTGTTGTGCCCACCTCTGCTGTTGTGCCCACCTCTGCTGTTGTGCCCACCTCTGCTGTTGTGCCCACCTCTGCTGTTGTGCCCACCTCTGCTGTTGTGCCCACCTCTGCTGTTGTGCCCACCTCTGCTGTTGTGCCCACCTCTGCTGTTGTGCCCACCTCTGCTGTTGTGCGCACCTCTGCTGTTGTGCCCACCTCTGCTGTTGTGCCCACCTCTGCTGTTGTGCCCACCTCTGCTGTTGTGCCCACCTCTGCTGTTGTGCCCACCTCTGCTGTTGTGCCCACCTCTGCTGTTGTGCCCACCTCTGCTGTTGTGCGCACCTCTGCTGTTGTGCCCACCTCTGCTGTTGTGCCCACCTCTGCTGTTGTGCCCACCTCTGCTGTTGTGCCCACCTCTGCTGTTGTGCCCACCTCTGCTGTTGTGCCCACCTCTGCTGTTGTGCCCACCTCTGCTGTTGTGCGCACCTCTGCTGTTGTGCCCACCTCTGCTGTTGTGCCCACCTCTGCTGTTGTGCCCACCTCTGCTGTTGTGCCCACCTCTGCTGTTGTGCCCACCTCTGCTGTTGTGCCCACCTCTGCTGTTGTGCCCACCTCTGCTGTTGTGCGCACCTCTGCTGTTGTGCCCACCTCTGCTGTTGTGCCCACCTCTGCTGTTGTGCCCACCTCTGCTGTTGTGCCCACCTCTGCTGTTGTGCCCACCTCTGCTGTTGTGCCCACCTCTGCTGTTGTGCCCACCTCTGCTGTTGTGCCCACCTCTGCTGTTGTGCCCACCTCTGCTGTTGTGCGCACCTCTGCTGTTGTGCCCACCTCTGCTGTTATGCCCACCTCTGCTGTTGTGCCCACCTCTGCTGTTGTGCCCACCTCTGCTGTTGTGCCCACCTCTGCTGTTGTGCCCACCTCTGCTGTTGTGCCCACCTCTGCTGTTGTGCCCACCTCTGCTGTTGTGCCCACCTCTGCTGTTGTGCGCACCTCTGCTGTTGTGCCCACCTCTGCTGTTGTGCCCACCTCTGCTGTTGTGCCCACCTCTGCTGTTGTGCGCACCTCTGCTGTTGTGCCCACCTCTGCTGTTGTGCCCACCTCTGCTGTTGTGCCCACCTCTGCTGTTGTGCCCACCTCTGCTGTTGTGCCCACCTCTGCTGTTGTGCCCACCTCTGCTGTTGTGCCCACCTCTGCTGTTGTGCGCACCTCTGCTGTTGTGCCCACCTCTGCTGTTGTTCCCACCTCTGCTGTTGTGCCCACCTCTGCTGTTGTGCCCACCTCTGCTGTTGTGCCCACCTCTGCTGTTGTGCCCACCTCTGCTGTTGTGCCCACCTCTGCTGTTGTGCCCACCTCTGCTGTTGTGCCCACCTCTGCTGTTGTGCCCACCTCTGCTGTTGTGCCCACCTCTGCTGTTGTGCCCACCTCTGCTGTTGTGCCCACCTCTGCTGTTGTGCCCACCTCTGCTGTTGTGCCCACCTCTGCTGTTGTGCCCACCTCTGCTGTTGTGCCCACCTCTGCTGTTGTGCCCACCTCTGCTGTTGTGCCCACCTCTGCTGTTGTGCCCACCTCTGCTGTTGTGCGCACCTCTGCTGTTGTGCCCACCTCTGCTGTTGTGCCCACCTCTGCTGTTGTGCCCACCTCTGCTGTTGTGCGCACCTCTGCTGTTGTGCCCACCTCTGCTGTTGTGCCCACCTCTGCTGTTGTGCGCACCTCTGCTGTTGTGCGCACCTCTGCTGTTGTGCCCACCTCTGCTGTTGTGCCCACCTCTGCTGTTGTGCCCACCTCTGCTGTTGTGCCCACCTCTGCTGTTGTGCCCACCTCTGCTGTTGTGCCCACCTCTGCTGTTGTGCCCACCTCTGCTGTTGTGCCCACCTCTGCTGTTGTGCCCACCTCTGCTGTTGTGCCCACCTCTGCTGTTGTGCGCACCTCTGCTGTTGTGCCCACCTCTGCTGTTGTGCCCACCTCTGCTGTTGTGCCCACCTCTGCTGTTGTGCGCACCTCTGCTGTTGTGCCCACCTCTGCTGTTGTGCCCACCTCTGCTGTTGTGCCCACCTCTGCTGTTGTGCCCACCTCTGCTGTTGTGCCCACCTCTGCTGTTGTGCCCACCTCTGCTGTTGTGCCCACCTCTGCTGTTGTTCCCACCTCTGCTGTTGTGCCCACCTCTGCTGTTGTGCCCACCTCTGCTGTTGTGCCCACCTCTGCTGTTGTGCCCACCTCTGCTGTTGTGCGCACCTCTGCTGTTGTGCCCACCTCTGCTGTTGTGCCCACCTCTGCTGTTGTGCCCACCTCTGCTGTTGTGCCCACCTCTGCTGTTGTGCCCACCTCTGCTGTTGTGCCCACCTCTGCTGTTGTGCCCACCTCTGCTGTTGTGCCCACCTCTGCTGTTGTGCCCACCTCTGCTGTTGTGCCCACCTCTGCTGTTGTGCCCACCTCTGCTGTTGTGCCCACCTCTGCTGTTGTGCCCACCTCTGCTGTTGTGCCCACCTCTGCTGTTGTGCCCACCTCTGCTGTTGTGCCCACCTCTGCTGTTGTGCCCACCTCTGCTGTTGTGCCCACCTCTGCTGTTGTGCCCACCTCTGCTGTTGTGCCCACCTCTGCTGTTGTGCCCACCTCTGCTGTTGTGCCCACCTCTGCTGTTGTGCCCACCTCTGCTGTTGTGCCCACCTCTGCTGTTGTGCCCACCTCTGCTGTTGTGCCCACCTCTGCTGTTGTGCCCACCTCTGCTGTTGTGCCCACCTCTGCTGTTGTGCCCACCTCTGCTGTTGTGCCCACCTCTGCTGTTGTGCCCACCTCTGCTGTTGTGCCCACCTCTGCTGTTGTGCCCACCTCTGCTGTTGTGCCCACCTCTGCTGTTGTGCCCACCTCTGCTGTTGTGCCCACCTCTGCTGTTGTGCCCACCTCTGCTGTTGTGCCCACCTCTGCTGTTGTGCCCACCTCTGCTGTTGTGCCCACCTCTGCTGTTGTGCCCACCTCTGCTGTTGTGCCCACCTCTGCTGTTGTGCCCACCTCTGCTGTTGTGCCCACCTCTGCTGTTGTGCCCACCTCTGCTGTTGTGCCCACCTCTGCTGTTGTGCCCACCTCTGCTGTTGTGCCCACCTCTGCTGTTGTGCGCACCTCTGCTGTTGTGCCCACCTCTGCTGTTGTGCCCACCTCTGCTGTTGTGCCCACCTCTGCTGTTGTGCCCACCTCTGCTGTTGTGCCCACCTCTGCTGTTGTGCCCACCTCTGCTGTTGTGCCCACCTCTGCTGTTGTGCCCACCTCTGCTGTTGTGCCCACGGATGCCACTCGGATGTCAAATCCATGCGGGTCCATGTGCACGTGCACCTGCTTGCACTCACGCATCCGTGCACACATGCATGCACACCCCCACCCATCCCCCCCGCCCCCCCCCCCCCCCCCCCCCACACACACACACGTGCAGACATACATTTTCACACTCCCGTACAGACATGAAAGAAAGAGAAATCCGTCCACTCATCCTTAACATATGACGGCCTGCAGCATCAAGCAACGGCATTACGACATTCAATCAACTCGACGCCCCTCAACTCCACATTGCCTTTCGTTCCAACGCCACCCAAATGTAATCACCCAATATCTCCACCCCACCATGTGCCCCCCGCCCCTCACCACGCCCAGCAGGTGGGCGGCCTGCCCCGTGGCCCCCATGGCGCGTGTCACGGCCGCTCTGAACCGCGCCTGCTGCACCCGCAGCGGCAGCGTCTGCTCGGGGAACAGCACGATGCCTGGTGGAAGGTGGAGGCGGGCGAAGCATTTGAGAAGGAGAGCATGTGAGAGACGGGGGTGTGCATGGAGGTTGGATGCTGCAATGAGCGCATGGGCGGCACATAGGGCATGGGCGGCACATAGGGCATGGGCGGCACATAGGGCATGGGCGGCACATAGGGCATGGCGGCACATAGGGCATGGGCGGCACATTGGGCATGGGCGGCACATAGGGCATGGGCGGCACATAGGGCATGGGCGGCACATAGGGCATGGGCGGCACATAGGGCATGGGCGGCACATAGGGCATGGGCGGCACATAGGGCATGGGCGGCACATAGGGCATGGGCGGCACATAGGGCATGGGCGGCACATAGGGCATGGGCGGCACATAGGGCATGGGCGGCACATAGGGCATGGGCGGCACATAGGGCATGGGCGCCACATAGGGCATGGGCGGCACATAGGGCATGGGCGGCACATAGGGCATGGGCGGCACATAGGGCATGGGCGGCACATAGGGCATGGGCGGCACATAGGGCATGGGCGGCACATAGGGCATGGGCGCCACATAGGGCATGGGCGGCGCACGCAGCGAACAGTGAAGGACACACAGGGCAGCACGGTGCAGAGTGATGGCAGCACGGTGCAGAGTGATGGCAGCACGGTGCAGAGTGATGGCAGCACGGTGCAGAGTGATGGCAAGTGATGCTGGCATGACAGGCCGGCCCCACTCAGTTACGGGCATGCAGGTACGGGCACGCAGGTGGAGTAAGTGCGAGGGGAAGGAGGGTAGGGAAGGGCATGGGAGGGTAGGGAACGGCATGGGAGGGTAGGGAACGGCATGGGAGGGTAGGGAAGGGCAGACTGAATGGCAATAGGAGAATCTTGGAGGCATACCTTGGAGGCATACCTTGGAGGCATACCTTGGAGGCATACCTTGGAGGCATACCTTGGAGGCATACCTTGGAGGCATACCTTGGAGGCATACCTTGGAGGCATACCTTGGAGGCATACCTTGGAGGCATACCTTGGAGGCATACCTTGGAGGCATACCTTGGAGGCATACCTTGGAGGCATACCTTGGAGGCATACCTTGGAGGCATACCTTGGAGGCATACCTTGGAGGCATACCTTGGAGGCATACCTTGGAGGCATACCTTGGAGGCATACCTTGGAGGCATACCTTGGAGGCATACCTTGGAGGCATACCTTGGAGGCATACCTTGGAGGCATACCTTGGAGGCATACCTTGGAGGCATACCTTGGAGGCATACCTTGGAGGCATACCTTGGAGGCATACCTTGGAGGCATACCTTGGAGGCATACCTTGGAGGCAAGCCTGGAGGCATACCTTGGAGGCATACCTTGGAGGCATACCTTGGAGGCATACCTTGGAGGCATACCTTGGAGGCATACCTTGGAGGCATACCTTGGAGGCATTACCTTGGAGGCATACCTTGGAGGCATACCTTGGAGGCATACCTTGGAGGCATACCTTGGAGGCATACCTTGGAGGCATACCTTGGAGGCATACCTTGGAGGCATACCTTGGAGGCATACCTTGGAGGCATACCTTGGAGGCATACCTTGGAGGCATACCTTGGAGGCATACCTTGGAGGCATACCTTGGAGGCATACCTTGGAGGCATACCTTGGAGGCATACCTTGGAGGCATACCTTGGAGGCATACCTTGGAGGCATACCTTGGAGGCATACCTTGGAGGCATACCTTGGAGGCATACCTTGGAGGCATACCTTGGAGGCATACCTTGGAGGCATACCTTGGAGGCATACCTTGGAGGCATACCTTGGAGGCATACCTTGGAGGCATACCTTGGAGGCATACCTTGGAGGCATACCTTGGAGGCATACCTTGGAGGCATACCTTGGAGGCATACCTTGGAGGCATACCTTGGAGGCATACCTTGGAGGCATACCTTGGAGGCATACCTTGGAGGCATACCTTGGAGGCATACCTTGGAGGCATACCTTGGAGGCATACCTTGGAGGCATACCTTGGAGGCATACCTTGGAGGCATACCTTGGAGGCATACCTTGGAGGCATACCTTGGAGGCATACCTTGGAGGCATACCTTGGAGGCATACCTTGGAGGCATACCTTGGAGGCATACCTTGGAGGCATACCTTGGAGGCATACCTTGGAGATAGAACATAGGTAGGCAAAGAATGGTGCCTCCCTCAGCAAACGCCTGTGCTCCCGTGATGTCGTCCCCCTCTGCACCCAGGGCACGGGGTGAGCGGTGCATGGGGTGAGATGAAGGCAGGCGAGGGTTGCAGCCCAGTGGTGGTGGATGCATGCATCGAGAAGTGATCATGACACGGCAATGATATGAACTAAAGTGACACATCAGTCAGAGCGACAAAGCGCCATGCACCATGCATCATGCACCATGCAGCATGCAGCATGCAGCATGGCCGTACCTCCAAGGTATGTGTGCAGCGATGTGATGGCCGGATCAAATGTGAGTCCTCCTCGTACCCTCAACGCGTCTCCATCGCCCCTGCATGCATGGATGATTCACGGATGAGATAAGATGGGACAGTGCTATACCAATGATGGCATTCTGATTCTTGCTCATCTCGTACCAAGAAAGGGTGACATCTTTGCATGACGAGGCTGCTCCCATGGCACCACATGCACCTGTGTGGCACCTGAGGCACGTGGCACCTGAGGCACGTGGCACCTGAGGCACGTGGCACCTGAGGCACGTGGCACCTGAGGCACGTGGCACCTGAGGCACGTGGCACCTGAGGCACGTGGCACCTGAGGCACGTGGCACCTGAGGCACGTGGCACCTGAGGCACGTGGCACCTGAGGCACGTGGCACCTGAGGCACGTGGCACCTGAGGCACGTGGCACCTGAGGCACGTGGCACCTGAGGCACGTGGCACCTGGGGTCATCGCTGTCGCTGGAGCTCAGCACATGCCGCCTCGCCTCGCCCCCTGCTGCCCGCCCCCTCTCTTCCTCCTCCTCCTCGTCCTCGCCCTCCTCGTCCTCCTCGCCCATCTCCTCCTCCTCCAGCTCCTCTCCCTGGATGGCCAGGATGCGCTCGATCTGCTGCCGCTCCACCGCACTCACCACCACCGCCACCGCACCCCCCCCGCCTCCTGCGCCTCCTTCGCCGCCACCATCACCCGTTCCGGCACCTCCACCGCCCGCTGCACCGCTCTGCACACCTGCCTCATCCCCTTGCTGTGACGCCTGCAGCAGGTGCTGCTGTGCTCCCCCCTCCCCCCTCTCTCCACCCCTGCCCTCACCTGCCTGCACGCCCCCATGTGCGCCCCTGCTGCTGCCACGCCCCCTGCCACGCCATGACGCTCGTCTCCGCCGCTCACTTGCACTCCTCCGTGCCCCTCCCGACTCCCCCTCGTCTCCCTCCTCCTCCTCCTCCTCTTCCTCCTCCAGCGCCTCCCCCTCCACCGCGCGTATCTGCTGCACCTGAGCTCTCTCTGCCGCCCCCACCTCGCCTCCCCTCACCTGCACGCCTCCCCTCGCCGCCCCCTCCCTCGAACCTCTGCCCATCCCCCTCGCCTCCTCTCTCTGGGCTGCGCTGTCCCTCCCACGCGCCACAACCTCCTCTCCCTCTCTCATTCCCTCCCCTTCTCCCTCCTCTCCTCGCACCGCTTGCCTCCTCTGTCTCTGCTGCGGCCGCCTCGCCCCTCCTATGCCGCGTTCCGCCTGCCTCTCCCCTTCGTCCATGCCTCTCTGCACCGCGCCACTGCCCTGCCCCACCTCATTGCACCGCACACAGTCAGCCCTGCGCCCTGCTCCCTCCTCGCCGCCCCTCGCCTCCACCTCTCCATCCTCGCTTCCCTCCCCCATCTGCTCCTCTTCCTCTCCTTCCTCTCCCTCCTCACAACTGCCTGCTACCTCGCCTTCCTCTCCCCCCATCTCTCCCTCCTCTCCCATATCTTCCCCTCCCTCCTCCTCGCCCTCCTCCTCCTCTCCAGACTCCACGTCATCACCATGCCTGCTGCTACCTGGCCCCAACCCTCCCTCCTCCTCCACGCCATGCTTCCCTCCGTCTCTCCGTGCACCACATAACGCCTTCTCCGAGCATACCTCGCCCGAATCTCCTGCTGCCGCCCTCCTCCTCTCCGCGTCCTTCTCGCCCTCCCCTTCCACCCCCTCCACCGCCTCCCCTCCCCTTGTCTCCCCACTTGCCCACTCCGCGCCCACCGCCACGCCGCCCCCCAGTGCGCCTCTCGACCTGCGCCACCCTCGGCCTCTTCCGCTCCCTCCCTCGTCCTCCCCCCCCTCGTCCTCCCCTTCCTCTTCCAGCGCCATATCATCCAATTCTCTCAGTTGCGCCAACTGCCGTCGCTCCGCCATCTCCGCCAACCGCGCGGGCGTCAAGTCCGCATCGCGCGCAGCCCCATCGCCGCGGCTAACGGTTTCATCGAAACCGCCGCCACCGCTGCTGGTGGCGACGTTGGGACGCGCAGCACTAGGCGGCCTGCTGGCGGCGTGTGGCGACCTGCGGCGCGGCTGTCGGTCCATGCGGGTGTGGGGCTGGCAACGAGGGAGCCGAGGGAACCCCTGCACGCTCGAGATCCGGTTTGGACAGGGTAACTAGTACGCCCGCACGCATGCATTCCTGCGCTGCACTGGCATCCCGTCACGTCCTCGCCCGCACTTGCTTGCTATAGTGCTAACCGCCACGCGCACATTCTCTCCGCCGTTTTCAACGCGGGTGTCCTGTTAGATTCCTGTGTGAGGCACACAGAGTGGTTCATCTCAACGGGAAGGTTGGGATGAGAGGGAAACACCTGGCCCCCCTTGGGACCAACGACGCCCAGCGACGGAATGGGTTGCAAACTGCTGCTCGACATGCAGGGGCCAGCGACGCCAGCGACGGATGCAAAATCCGTTGAGACAACCTCGAGAAAAGATCTCAACGGGGTTCGGGTTTTTCGACATCTGGCGAGTAACCGTGCGTCCACGCGAGCAACGAAAATATCTCGCCACGAGATTGCGACATGTGTTACGGATGGCTCATTTGTACAAAACTCGTTAAGCGTAACAAAGAATACACTTTCTAAACACTCTTGTACCAGTAAAACATGACTTCTTGAAACAAATAATGGAAAGCATGTTGACCAAGGAAAAAAAAAAAAGTTCTCATGCACAAGATGTGTCTGCCCGGGCAACGTCGTCAGCACACACGACAAAAAACATCGTGTGCAAGACGAGAAATGTAGACATCAACCACACGCGGAAGCAGTCGATTTCGTGCTCGCACGTAGACGACAAAAACAGCTGTGTCAACACGCACACCTCGTCAGAGGCAGGGTCGGTTGCATGCGGAAAGTTCACTCACGCACAACATGTATCTGCCCCTGCATCTTTGTCTGCACGCACGACAAAATGTCTGCGCACCTTTGTGAGCAAGCACGACAACTATCATCTTGTTATGGGGAAGATTTTTTTTTACTCATGCGGACGCATTTCATTTCGTGCTCGCGCGCAGACAACAAAAAAATCGTGTGCACAATTACACCTCGTCAGAGGCACGATCTGTTGCCTGACGTAACTTATCTCATGCAAACGCTGTTCTTTTCTTGATCAGACGCAGACGACAAAACAAGGTCGTGGGCACACCTACACACATCGTCAAAGACACTGTGCAGAACGAGCAGTTTTCGTGTTCGTGCCGCAGAACCTGCTCGTCAGGAACTGTGAGCAGAACGTGTTCGTGCGCATAGCTTGTTCAGCCCAACGCGCAAATTTTGTTGCCACATGTGACGCGCGTGCATCTGACAAGGCCTGTCAACGTGCTGCATTCATCATCTTCGCCACATGCGCATGGTGTCAGTTTTCATGACGATGCTTTTTACACCTTCGCCACATGCGTATTTTCATGCCCGACACCATTGTAATTTGTCACACGCTCATGCGCATGCTGATATTGTCAGAATGTTATTGTATACATCACTTTATAACTGCCTGCAATGTAGACTTAGTGTAGTTACCTTGCTTGTTAGGTGGTGCACCTTGCTTCACTTCTTTCATATTTGTACCCTTGAACCTATAGTGAAACTCTCATTCCCCTTCACAACTTTCTCGACACTCTCCTCACCCTCGAACTCAACTACCAAGGCTCCTAAACTATGGCTCCCAAGCCCACCTAACTCTACCTACTTCTCTCACATGGAATCAGAGCGACTACGCTCTTGGCCTGTGGGCCCCACGTGCTTCCGCTGCTTTCTTTTCTGTCGCGCGCCCCGTGGCGCGCGACACTTTTTTCTTCCCGCCACGCGCTCGGGGCGCGTGGCGGTTTTCCGCACGCCGTGCGCCCCGGACGCGCGGACGCCGCCCTTCTCGGCCCCTCACGACCTCTTCGCGGCCCCGTCGCTGCTCCTCTCACGGCCCCTCGCGCTACCCTCAGTGGCCCCGTCGCCACACTTCGCGGCCCTGTCGCCGCCCCATCTCGGCACCGTCGCCGCCTTTAGCGGCCCCGTTGCCGCCCCTAGCGGCCCCGTCGCCGCTCTTCGCGGCCCCGTTGCCGCCCCTAGCGGCTCCGTTGCCGCCCCTTGTGGCCCTGTCACTTGCTCGTTGCGGCGCATCCCCCCCTGGCCGCCGCCTCTGCCTCCCTTGCGCCCATGCCTGCTTTGCAGCAGCGCGCGGGCCTGCCTTGCAACAGCAGCCGCCCCTGGAGCAGCCACCCCAGCAGCAGCCGCCCCAGCAGCAGCCGCCCCTGGAGCAGCCGCCGCTGCAGCAGCCGCCCCTGGAGCCGCCGCCCCTGGAGCAGCCGTCACTGCAGCAGCCGCCCCTGGAGCCGCCACTGCAGCAGCAGCCCCTGGAGCAGCCGCCCCAGCAGCAGCCGCCCCTGGAGCAACCGCCGCTGCAGCAGCCGCCCCTGGAGCAGCCGTCACTGCAGCAGCCGCCCCTGGAGCCGCCACTGCAGCAGCAGCCCCTGGAGCAGCCGCCACTGCAGCAGCCGCCCCAGCAGCCGCTACCCCTGCAGCAGCCGCCCCTGAAGCGGCCGCCCCTGCAGCAGCCGCCCCTGGAGCAGCCCGCAACTGCAGCAGCCGCCCCTGGAGCAGCCTGCACCTGCAGCAGCCGCCCCTGGAGCAGCCCTCAACCGCAGCAGCCGCCCCTGGAGCAGCCCGCACCTGCAGCAGCCGCCCCTGGAGCAGCCAGCAACTGCAGCAGCCGCCCCTGGAGCAGCCCGCACCTGCAGCGGCCGCCCCTGGAGCAGCCCGCACCTGCAGCCCGTCTCGTTCCCCCCCCCCCCCCCCCCCGTGCATTCCGTGGTGCTGGGGTTGTGGGGTGCCGAGCATGGGGGTGGCGGGTGTGGGGGTGGCGGTTATGTGTTCCTCCCCTTGCTCCTCCTCCTCCCTCGTCTCCCACTGCTGCAGCTGTCGCTGAGGGGGGTGGGTGTGTGGGAGCCTAGGGTTTAGGGTTTAAGGGGGGTGCTGTGGGAGTGGAGCTAGGGTTTGAACAGGGAGTGTGTGAGAGGGGAGTGGGGCAGCTGGGGGAGGTTGTGTGAAGGTAGCTGTCGTGTCGCCTGCAGCGCCTGTAGTCCGTCGCCCTTGCTTCGGTAGCCAGTGAGCCTGTTGCACCAGTCGCCAGTGGGTCCGTTGCTCCTGCCGCTCGTCTATAGCCGCGGAGCCAGTCACTCCAGTAGTCCGTCGCCCTTGCTTCGGTAGCCACTGAGTCAGCCGCTCCTGTGCCCGTGCCTCTGCAGCTTCAGTCGTTGCCTCGCATCTTCTCTTCCTCCACAGTCTCTCCTCCTCATTTGCCCTCTCTGTCTGCTGCGCTCTACTTGGTGTACCCCTTCCGGGGGTGTTTCTGCACATGGTTCTTCACTGCAGGCAGTTAGGGGGTGTGTCAGAATGTTATTGTATACATCACTTTATAACTGCCTGCAATGTAGACTTAGTGTAGTTACCTTGCTTGTTAGGTGGTGCACCTTGCTTCACTTCTTTCATATTTGTACCCTTGAACCTATAGTGAAACTCTCATTCCCCTTCACAACTTTCTCGACACTCTCCTCACCCTCGAACTCAACTACCAAGGCTCCTAAACTATGGCTCCCAAGCCCACCTAACTCTACCTACTTCTCTCACAGATATTTCGAGCACACTGTACACCGTTTGTCACTCCGAAGAAAATACTGTACCTCGCTCGTACACACATGTTGTACTCGCAACTTTCCCACAACCAGTAAATTTTCTTATGCGTAAGGAAATTCACTGTGTGCGTGTACGGTTTGTGTACGGGCAAGGTATAAAATGTGTGTGTTCCCAAAAACAACATGCGCATGGGCATGGGTAAACGGCGTCAGGAATGAAAATAGCGTGCTACAGTTGTGTACGCACGTGGCGAGGTGTTCCTCGTGCACCTGCAGAGGCGTGACAGAGGGACTCGCGAAGTGTTTCGCGTGGGCAAAAATGGCTTCGTCAGCGAGAGTCGCACGTGTGCACGACTTTTAGCGGCCAGATCGGACATCGCCTAGGATCGCCCGGTTTTCGCCAGCCACACAAAACTCGTGCCTCCCCAGAAGCAGTTTTGTCTGGAATGCACACCATGCGGACCGTACAAATCTCAAAAACATCGTCAGTAGAACGATGCTGCAGATATTTTATTTCGTCCAGAACACCCACGAGAAGCGTGATTCACGTTGGGATGCGAAAATTGAACCTTTTCACTATTCAAGATCAAACATATCATGCATACAACCAAATTTGCAAAGAACACGAGGTGCGTCATGCACGTTTGCATGCGGAATATAAATAAAACAGCCGCACGATGTTCTAGCCCTCAATGACATAAAATCTTTTGCATACGCAGACGCGCCAAACAAAATACAAGGGTGTCAAGTGCGCGAGAAACAAAAAACACATCGTGTGTAAAACGCACAAGAGGACAAAGACGATCCTCGACACGTGTGCCTGCTGTACGCTGAAATATGTTGCGCGGACTCAACTCTACCGTATCGTTTGCGCACGTTTGAAATACTGTACAGACGGGTACACCTGGAAGTTCATCCAGTGCAAACAGCCCTCAAGACGAATACATCCGCACATGCACATGAAAAAAAAAAAAAACAAAAAGTGCCCCTTGCAAGGCCAGGAGTTTCAATCAGTGAGGGGGTACCAAGTGTCCTATTGTATTTTTTGCGTTACGTAGACACATTTCAGCCGTCAGATGCGGAACTGGTATTTCGCAGCCCCGCAGATTCATTGCCGTACGCGTACCTTTCAAAGCAGTACGCATAGGCAAACCCAACCCGTGCAAAAAAATTATGCAGCTACGGCAAAAGATCTGTCCCGACCGATGGAGCGTATGCTTAACTAAATGTGTTGACATAGAACAGGCGTGCATAGGCAAAAATTACATGTGCACAATGTAAACCAAACGCCGCAAGACATTTTTCCAACCCACGGACCCTATGCATAAATTAGGATTTTTTCCATACCCGGTGTCAAAACTCAACACACCCAACGCACACATAAAAGCACACCTGACGCAAAAGGTGCACACCTAACTCTGCC